CCCTGTCAACTGTTGCGGGAAAACTCCCTCCTCACGGCGCCAATGTCACCGGCATCTTCGGTGAATATGAAATTACCCCCGTCGCAACGGCTAGCATAGGTCTTTGGCAATGACGGGGACTCGACCAAAGTACCCTACCTACCTTCCCAAAGGAAACAAGGTGGAACTCTGGCGTTATCACCTGGGCCACTTCAGTCCACGTATTTGGAAGGGGAATCGGCATCGCAGTCGACCATGATTCGACTTATCACGGCACAGCAAGCTCCCAGCTCAAACCTTTCGTGGACTCTGAGCTGATTCGATGCCTCCGCAAAGATAACCAGATGTCTCTTCTCGGGTTGTGGCTGCCACACCACAACCCCAATATGCATCTCCAAATTGACATCGCGGACGTCATCGGTAATCTGGGACATAACCTTACGCTGGCGCAAGATATCGCATTGGCTGCTGGCGAAGACGTCTACGTTCCACGGAAGACACCCATCAACATCCGAGAAGTGGGTATTCTCCAGGCGATCACAGGCGCCCAGAGCCACTCGGCTCGCGTGCCCTGAATAATGGATCCGGGGACGACATCTCCAGGGCCGATCGCTTCTGGAGCGCAACGTGAGCACGTCTTCATGCTCATGAAGTCGTGCTTGAAGTGTGTTACTCAATCGAAATTGCATGCTTGCTGGAGATAGCTGGGGACAAACCGACGGCATCGCGGTTCTGCCCGTGGATCACTCGGGGTCTGGTCGGTACAGAGACCCACGCTGAAATGGAGATTAATCGCCGTACTGACTGCTATCTCATTCGACCGGGCATTTTTGTACTGCCCGCCGGCTTCACGCTCTTCATTACCCCGGCCTCCGAAGCGGTACGAAACAATCGGTCGTTGGAGCATTCTGACAGAGGGACTCATGTCAGCTCAATTCATTTTAGGTTGACAAGGAGCCCGTCGCCGGTTATCGTGCTCCGCAAGGATTTCCTTGGCCAAAGGGATATTGGGGTCGAAAATTCGAGAAGTACGGTCGACACCCGGCACTTAGCTGCATTGGGATATGTCGGCATCCTGCGTCCAGCTTTGAGGTGGTATTCCCGCGAGCATTCAGCTGCACGCTGAAATGTTGCAGAGCGCAGACATACCGCTGTTTCCTGCGGGCTTCGAGGGCCTGCAGAGGCTGAGACTTCGAAACGCTTTGGAAATTCTGCCTCGATGAGAGGAAAAGAGAGCCTTGAAGCAGGCTATCTGGTTGCTTGAAGTCAGCATTTGGCCACACCTCGGCCTGAACAGAACAGCACGGACAGTGGTACAACCGGCCGAAAGCATTTGGACCGCGTAGTGGCTGGCATTTTGGGTCTGAATCGTGGCGTCCTTAGACGCATCCTTAGACAGAGATCCCCTTTGTCTTGCGGCCAGTCCGCGGGAGCTCGCCCCCAAGCCGCCTTGCTTGGCCAGCTTCGCCGTCGCCTATTGGAAGTGGCTGAATGGCACATCCGCGATCGCAACTTTCAACCCACCCAACGGGTTAGCCTCAAGCGGCGTTCATTCGGACGTGTCTCTGACAGCATCACGGCCATTGGCCGTGCTCAACGAGTGGCTTATCGGATGGCACCAGCACGGGTTGGTGGAAGGCCGTTGGAACATGCACCATGCTTCTACGGCGTTAGTCTTCCGCCCGCGGCACAGCTCTCCCCAGCTTTGCTCTTTGCCTCACACACAGCTGGCCAAGCTGGCGTTGGTTGCTTGGCTAACCATGGCGGAACAACGAGGGCATCCGCGATGGCGGACGATGAAGCCTTTGACCTGAGGGCGATGTGGACCGAGGGACATCGGAAGACTGCCCGGTCGCGACCCAGGGCCACAGCGAGTTGGCGACAGCCTGCGACTCTCACCGCGGCCTTTCCGAAAAGGGGGAGGGCCAGGCCGATAGGACACTCGGAAACAAGCACGATGATTGGTGGTCTGAGTCAGGACTCGGTCGTTGGCGTCTTTTAGGCCGGCCAGGTCACTTTCCTACCTTCTTAATCCAGAACAGTGGTGGCACCATTGTCACAATTCCCCGCCTCCTGGCCACCCTGGAAATTGGAATTGCTGCTGGTTGTTGTGCGCTTCAACCACATTCCCACAGCCCTACCACAGAATGTCGACATGCTTTCTGCCGCCCATTGGACAAACATGGGACGAAATCCCGGGGGTCTCCTGGACCTCTCTGTGCAGGCCCTGGAGAAAGAGGCTGGACGCAGTAGGGCGCGCTGGAACGGCGATGAACAACGAGGGAGAGTCCGCCGCGATGAGATTCTTACCCATTGAACCAACCACAGGATGAACCTGCTGCCCCAGCTTCGCCAGAAGCCATGTCCATGTCTTCGATAGCAACCCGTCCCTCCCACTCACCACGCCCAACCCAACCCTTCCCCCCATCCGAACTGCTCAGGTCCCCCCAATCTCCTCTTGCTCCTCTCGGTCAAATTGCCAGCCAGCGCCCGTTCCGAAGCAACAAGAGTGGTCGTGAATGGTTCCCCATTCGTTTAGAAGACGCCCGGACGGCTAGACTACCAGAACTTCATTGGCCATGTAACGCTTCTTTCCCCCCCTTTGCGCAGCTCCACGGACCCAGCTGCTGCTCTGTTGCTGGAGAGGCCCTCTTATCACTGGAAAGAGCCCCGAGGGGACGGGATACGGGCTTGTTCTACCCATGTGCCACGCTCGCTTTCCTTGTTGAGGAAATTACGCGAAGGAACTTTTGCCTGCAGCTTTCACCACACGGGGGAACTTGGCGACCGCCGACCAATACCAGCGCAACAGCGGAAAGTGGTCTTCGTCGAGTGTCGGAGAAGAGCCCTACCAAAACGACCTGGTGTGCTTGCTGCTGTCTGCCTTTTCGTTCCTCGAGCTACTGACGGCTCCCTGATCCCCATATCTCTCTTCCTCCGTGGACGCAGACCGCAGGAGAGACAACTTTGCCTGCCGTCCGCCGCCTGTTTTGACCCGTCCAGTCCAGCCCAGCCCAGGTCCTGCCGCCTTTCTTCCAGTGGTTTTGTTCCTGTCCTTGTCCCAATCCGACGTGTCAAGCCAGAGCAGCCAGAGCCTGACCTTTCCCGACCAGCGCCAGTCCAACCGTCTCAGGCCCTTCACTCACTCTTTAATCTTTTCGAACCCATCGGTTACCACACTGGACCATGACGCTTTCTCTTCTGCCGCTCTATTTTTAACTTGGCAGCTAGAGACCCAGAGAGACCTTCTCTTTTATGTGGCGACGATCATGGGCACTTTTGTTTGGTCTCCTCCCACGCTCTCGTCTTTCATTTGAAGGTCCAGTGGCACCCCCTCCAACCGCACGGCAATCGATGCTTGCCTTGCCACAGGCAACGCGCTGGGCTTCTTGGATGAATCGCATTCGACGACACGAGGCACCTGTCCTACCGAGGAGCTTTGACTCGTCCGAGTCTTGAACTCATCAGCCCGCAGTCCGGTCCTCTGCTCCATCGGAGGACGGGACGCGGCCGAGATGTTCAATCATTCTGGGGACAGGCCCCGCGGTGCTCCCTCAGGTTCAGGATATGGGGGCAGTCAACACGGCCTCACTCTCAATACCTCTGGCCAACAATGGCCAAGGTTTGGCATGCCGCAAGGCATGGCCGGCTCTTCTTCGACATGTCCGCCTCCGCAGCAACAGCATCAGCAACAGTCACAGAGGGATTTCTCGTCGACCATGGAATGGGCTTCACCCGGCGCGCAGCAGACGCGCTTCAACATGGGCTCCTCGATGAACCACGCACCTCAGCAGCAACAGCAGGAACAGCAGAACGATGGCATGGAACTTGACGAACTTAGCCCGGCCGGGCCTGGTGTCTCGAACTTGATCGCTCGTTTTGAGGGGATTCGCGCCGCACCGCCTAGCAGTAGCAAGGTCATGAGTCCGATGGGTTCCGTGGCAAGCCCGACAGTCACGAGCCCTTCATCGGCACACTTTGGCAGCATGAACGGCAGCATGCATAGCTCAACAAACATGAGTTCTTCTGGCATGAGTAGAATCACAAGTCCTGTCGTCAACAGCCCAGCAACGCCAAATTATTTTCGTGCCCCGGAGTCATTTCGTCCACCAGTGCCACGAAGTACCAAGCCTGTGTTGGGTCGCGCACCGTCTAACATTCCATTATTCACGCCAGACCAACAATTCGGTGATGGGAACAATCGTTCAGGTCCTTCAAACTCCGCCGCGCAACCTCAACTACAACCTCAACCTCGACAGCAAATTCAACATCAACAGCAGCTGCATTTGCAGTCGCAACCTCAGTCTCAACCTGCCCCTCAACCACCCGCTCAACCTCAGCCAGTCGTTTTCAGCTCACGGCAGAACAACCTGACTTCAACAGCGAACGCCTTCAGCTCACAGCAGAACAACCTGACCTCAACAGCGAACGCTTTTAGCTCACAGCAGAACAACCTGACTTCATCGTCAAATACATTTACCTCACAGCCAAGCGACTTTGACTCGTTAAATCCGTTCGGCTCACAACAGAACAATTTTAATTCAACACAAAATGCCTTTAGTCCACCGCAAAATACATTCAGCCCTCCTCCGAATGCTCTGAATGCCTTCAGTCCGCCCCCTCAACCTTTCAGTCCAGGCCCATTCAGCCCGGCACCCACACCGTTCAGCCCGGCGACATCAAGCTTCAGCCCAGCACCCACGCCCGCCCCGAGCTTTGTGCCCCCGACCCCGAGTGGAATGCAGACACCATTCGGCCCTCCACCTCCTACGTCGTTCCGGGTATGTGCCAACACGGCAGCCAAAAGCTTATTTTCTAACGTCGTGCAGGGCCAAGCTCGACAACCAAGCGTCGCACCCAGTGTTGCCCCCAGTGTCGCGCCTACACCCAAGCCTTCGACGGGCGCCGGTAGTCGACCATCTCGCGAGCAGGTGCCTGCCGAGGCATGGGAATCATTTAAACTAACCATCAAACAACTGTACTTGGAAGAAAGACGGCCTCTGAAGGAAGTCATGCAAATCATGGCTGACCAGTATGGCTTCCAGGCAACGTACGTCAGTCGGCTTCTATATGTTGAAACCCATGCTCACAATCACAGGCCCAAGATGTACAAGACACGGTTTTCGCAATGGGGATTTGTCAAGAACAACACCGAGGACGAGGTCAAAAGACTTTTATCAATGAAGTTTCAGCGCGACGCCGAGGGCAAGGTATCCGAATTCGTACGCAACGGCAGAGTGGTCAACCTGGGCACGTATCTCAAGCGCAAGGGAGTGACGGAGTACGATCTTGTCGATTTCGAAACGCCTGCTCAACTTCCGTCGTACGTGCGATGTCGTACCCCGACACCGCCGCCCGCTCCGGGTTATCTGCAGTCACCAGATCTAGTCAGAGCGCAGGAGACAGTTGTTGCGAACATGAGGAAGGCCTTCTTGCACTGTCGCCAGTTCGAGGTCGAGACGGATCGGCAGATTGGATGGACGTCAATCATGCTTTGGGGCGCCGGATCGAGCGACATGTTTACTGACGCGAACAAGAAATTCGAGATGGGCGAGCACGATGCCGGCGGACACTTGCTGATGAGGGCATTCAAGCGCTTAGAGATGGATCTCAAGCAACTGTCGCCACAGGGCATCAAGGAGTTACTCCTTGGTATGGTGCACCGGGACGCCGGCATGATGACTGCACTTTGCAAGTACCTCGCGGCCTATTCGACGACCAACTTTGAGCGATCTCATCCCCTCCGACAGACGTTCTCAACTCTTTACGAAGTCCAGCAGAAGCACGGCCCGATCACGCTTTCCGAACTCATTTGGGGTTGCATCCCAACCATTGCCGAAGAACTCGAAGCTATCTATGGCAGACGCCACCCCTACGTGGCCCGCACATGGATCGACCTTGCCATCTTTTACAACCACGCCAACCCCGAAAGACTCGAGAAGCTTCTCGCCGAGCTTCAACCAATGTGTCGACAAATAGCTGGACGATACGGACAGGGTAGCGCGGAGGACCTGTCTCTTCGATACGCTGTGGTGCAGTTGTTGCAAGCAGCGTGGCCTAACGGCGATACGACTCGACTAGAGGCATTGGATCTGTGGAACACGATGAAGGACGCCGGCCTCGTCTTCCCGGTTCGCGGCGCGGAGCACAACACATTCTGCTTTCACAGTCCGTTGAAGGTTGATCCATGGGACAGACGATGCAGAGACCGATATGACGTTGGTGTGCAATTTTTTCAGCAACATTGCGGCATCAAAGTATTGCCGTATTTCGAGGAGGATATGCACAACACGGAGCACGCTCCCGATTCGCATTCCGCCTTGGCAGCAGCCTTGGGGCACATGGCCCCCTCCAAGTTCTCGCTCATCTAATGGCGTCTACCATGCAACTATTATTTTCCCATTTCGAAGGCGATAAAACGAGCGACACATATACCCCCGACGAGTCACGGACAAGTGGCATTTTATTTTATTTTTATATTTTCATTTTATTAATACGACAAGAGATGCTACGATGCGACGGCCGCCAAAAAAGCAACCGCCACTTCGACAGGCGCAGGCGATTACCCGGGTTGTCAGGATGGGATCAATGATACCTCAAGAAGCGGGCGAGAAGGGATTGGAAACGTTTGGAGTATTTGGGTCAGGGCATAACGTCATGAATGCGTATCATGGCCGGCGTCTGGGGTTTTCCGATTCCAACACAGCAGCGAGCACACGCATTTCTGGAATGACATTGTACAATAGCATCGATCAGCGAACGAGGAAGATGACGCGATACCACGATACGAGAGAGGGGGGAGGGATGAGATGAGCGGAGAGAGATGAAACGACCAAATTTTGGAAAAGACAATATTCCCCCGACATGAAGGACCAAATGGTGATGCCGACAGGTTTGGCGAAGAAGTGAGATTGAAAGACCGAGGATGATGTGGGGAGGATGAGCAACGCCAAACCGAATCTGACGCGATAAGAAACCAACCAACCGAACCGAGTGCCCTGATCAGGCTGATCTGCACACCTTCAGGCCCGGACACGGAGCTGAGGGGAACATTTCTGATTGCCCTGTCCGCGGCGCGATAAGGGGATTCCCACTCTGCCCAAGCATTTCCTCTCGTCTATTTCGTCTATTCGTATGGGCTACTCCGGACGGCCCCTGGGCGAGCTGCTGCATGCATGCAGCAACCAGCAACTTGCAGATGCAGTGGAAGGGTGGTGGGTTTTCAGTTGAATGCCACGACTGAACGGTCCCACGTTCAGCTGCTTATGCTTCTTGGCTATCCTTCGCCTGGCTCTTGGCTTTAGGGTATCAGGTCGCTTTCGGTTTCTCGGTCTTTCAGCGCCATATTCTGCGAGTAACAGTTCTCGTCAAGGCTTCTTGACAACATCATCAGAAGCTCATGACGGCGGTATTGTCGGAAAAGTCAACTATCCCGACTCAATGCTGTCTTTTCCGCCAGTTCGGTCGCCAAGGCGGGGAACGGGAGTGCCGTCGGCCCAAGTTGGAGCGCGAAAATGGGCCCCTTTGCAGGGCATCGCTGCCAGAAAATGCTGATGGAGGGGTTCAGCCCCGGCGCGCCTTTCTTTCTCTCCACTGAGGGGTCCATGTTGACGGAGTTGAGCAGAGTCTAGACACCACCTCCAGTGCTAGGAAACAAATCAATGGAAACTGATCAATTCCCAGCCTGCCGACCGGAAATCCCGGGCACAGCCGGGGCTCGCTGTTGCCTCCAAAGTTGACGTGCGCTTCCAACATTGGCGTCGAAATGCTAACAATTGTCCCCCTTCCTCTTTGTCTCTTCTCTCCCACGCGCTCCCCACGCTTGACGTCCAGTTCCTCTTACGCATTGAATTGCGCTGATTCGCGACCGCCTCGCATGGCAGGGGTGTCATAGCACGAGCCAAAATAAAAATGAAAAATAGCAGCTGGCGTGAGATGCGCCCGGGATGACGAGATGCAAGCAAGGCAACATGGGCGAAATCGCGACTCGCGAGTTGGCGCGCATGTTTGGTACCGAGATGTTCAGCGTTGTTCTGTCATTTCGGGGATCGAGCCTTTTCCTTCGCACCACTTTTTTTAGAGGGTGATCCCCGTCCATTTTGATCCCTTTTTTTCTCACTCGTCTCTGATCTTCTATCTTATCTTTTGACATCTAGACCTCGGCCAAGTCCTTTTTCCCTTCTCCTCGTCTATCTGTCTGTGCACATGTGACGTGGGTCACTTACGAGGGTTCATCCAGGCTCTAGCAGATATCTTCACTGCAAAAAAACGATCGTGCGCAGATTGATATGAGATGAGCTTTCAAACTTTCTCTCCCAAAGCCCGCGGAAATTCCTGATTCCTCCAACCACTCTGAGACCATCCTAAATGAAAACTATCCATAACTCTAAAGCTCCCTTCACCCAGTCAGGATCTAACGGAACCATCTCCGTGGGCAAATCGCACGTCCCGTCTCCCCCTGATTCCTGACTCTCGACTGCCGGCCGCCCGTCTGAATTTTTGCGTACCATGGAGTGAGTGGCCAAGCACCTAGCACCCAGACATCGGCTGCTTCCGGGGGAGTTTCGCCCACCGGCAACCACCGGCGGCGGGCTGGGTCACGCTTGGCGCTGCTAGCTGGGCTGAGTTAGCGACTTGTGACTTGTGAGTAGTGAGTTGTGTGTGTGCGTCGTCCTGGGAGATCGATCGGCTTGGGCTGGGCCTTTTCTTCAACTGGCAAAGGGGGCATTGATCTGCGGGCGGTTTTGGCAGTTTAATTACTGATTGAGCGAGAATTGCTACGGGGTTTGCCGGTGGTTTGTGGTGGTGGTGGTGGTGGCTTGTTTTCGGGCTGAGAGGCGGCCTGGCACGGGTGGGATGTCGATGTGGGGACGAGGCCTGTCCGAGGGGTTTGGTGTGGTTGAACGTCCCGGGAGGATGGGTCATCGCGATTACTGCCGCTATCCAGCATCTTTCGAAGAACTGACTCTAGGGCCTTGACTTGTGACTTGCTTATCCGTGCCAGGACGGGGCTGGACTGTCCTCATACTCGGGATGCGATTTTTGCTAAGTGGGTGAACATGCGTGACAGCAAGGATATTAAAACCGATAACCGTAATATAATGTAATTCCGACCAATGCATTTATTCCTCTGTCCGCTTCGCTAGAATTACTTGCCCGGATATCAAAGCTTCATGACATGGCCAAGGGATCAGCATCCAGGTTCTGGTATGTGATGCTAGTGTCCTAGTCATCGATGTATGCGGCCTGAGACACCGGTGCCGGCCGGCACAAGGCCATATATCACAGCATCAGCGAGTTTATCAATGTTTTCAGGTTGCGACTCTACTTTCTTAAGCTCATTCAGGCCATGATTTGATTTTGATATTGGGGCATGAGTTTCATTACAAGCTTAATCCCCTGTGATCTCTTCGCTTTTGGGCAAATCTATTTGCTGCAATAGCATCGAACTTTCGTTGCGTATAATGTATTTCAGCTTGAAAGTGCTGGCTTCGCTCGTCGTCACAAGGCATAGATGACTAACGCAGATAAGATCACACACGCTACTATTCGACGAAATTTCATGAAAGATTCCCTACTTGCTAAGCCACAGTCCAAAGCGCGTCACGATATTCTCTTTCTTCTTCTCGGCCTTTGGGGTCGTGGATGGGAGGCTGGCCGTCTCCGCATTCGACTGATTATCCTCGTCATCGCTTGACTCAGATGCGGAAGAGCTCTGCGAACTCTCAATGAGGTCGCGTCCTCTTCTCTTTTTTTTCGACGTGCGTTTGCGGTTCCGTTCCATACTCCGTACACCAGGCTTTGATGGAGATGGTGCCGATGTTGGACTTCGAAGTGATTGAGGGTCTGCAGAAATGTGCAAGGGATATGGAGGGGCTGGACTCTGGGAGCCCCAACGCTTACCAGCAAGCATTCCATCGTTGTTTGGTAAAAGAGAACTCAGAGAATCCGGGTCTTCCTCCTTATGACGGGAACTTCGCGTAGGAGGCGGTACCGAAGATGGCCGAGAAGGGTCTTCGGTGTACGTCATCGGTATATCCACAGTTGAAACTTCGAGTCGAGGTATTACAGGCCGCCGTGGAGTCTTCAAGGGAGGACGCGTTGGACGCGGAAAGCTATGGTCCACATCTTGAGCTTGCTGTCGAGAAGCAGATGCAGGCCTTTTGTCCATGGGCCACATTTTCATTTCAATAGCCTCCCCCGGTCTGATCGCCGAATCCCACAGCATTGGGATAATTATCCGCCCATCTGACCCTATCAGGTCATAATGGCCTTCTTGAACATCAACGGAACATCAACGTGAAGAAAGGCTTGTTTTACCACTTATTCCATATCCTAATCGTTTGATTTTAGCCCACGTACACTGCAAAGTGTGGGTTACTTACTCTCCAGCGTCTCACCTCGTGATACGGGAGGGTGAATTTCCTTCCAACAGCATCTTTGAATTCAATCAACTCGTCTCCTTCCTTGTGTCGATGTTCATGATAAGTCGGCGTTTGTTGTGCATGTTTATATGCATTCCTGGCTCTCTGCTGTTGAGAAATGGGCTCTTGTGCGCCTGCATCTTCCGGTTTGCCACTTTCGGCTTCTTGTACTCCGAGATCTTTCGCAATAGATCCCTGAATCTCGTCGTTAGAAAGCTCAGTCCATTCAGCAAGTAACTCATCGACAACCCTTCGCGGGTCTATCGGCTTTTGCGTCACCCTCAAAGATAAATCGCCGACCCATCCATGGCCTGTGTAGGAAGATGACGGACATGCTTCATCATCTTCTTCCTTGACGGCACCATGCTCATGCTCATATTCTCCCTCCGCGCGACATTCTGCGTAAGCAGAGAAAACGACGGCATAAAGCCAACCCGCCGTGTCTCGCGTGGCGTCTCTCCACAGCATTAGTTGATCTTGTCCATAGTCTTCGTTGGCTCCTTCGTCATCGGCAACATCTGGTCCTGACCGTGAAGTCACCAACTCTGTTTCCTTAAGTTCTCTTAACGACTGGTAGGATGCTTGTACCACATTCTCTGTCTGTTGGATTTTCAAAGCTCTCTCGGCCACACCAGTATAGTCAGTACTGCTCCGTTTCGAGCTGCGCCGGGTTGTTAGCAATGAGATTTTCTTTTTCTCCTCTGCGAATGAATGTAGAAGATCCGTACCTAATTGTCAACTTGATCTGGACTGCAAGCGTCATCGTGTGGAGGATCATGTTGATGGCGTTCTTGTGAGCTTCAATCTGGTGAAGCAATTCTACGCTCATCGATCGTCTGAACACCCATTTCAATCGGCCCACGCCCCCATTGATATCCATCAGCCTCTCAATCTCGCCATGAATCGTATCGATCCGTCTCATAGCGGATCGAATACGTCCAATCAAC